ACACACACACACACACACACATATATACACACACACACACACACACACACACACACACACACACACACACAGAGCTGTGTCTTTCCTCATCCAAGTTTGTGGAGTGCTTGCTATGATGTGATTACTTGCTGCTTGTCAAAATTTACTTCTGTGTCATTCTTACGTAAATTATGTTACAATACTTGCAGCATGTTGCAGTTCTCTTCATATGACTTGACGAGATGCTGTATATTATATCATTTCAATGGTATTGAGTCTCTGGTACAAATTCAGAGCTTTTAATTTCAAATCATTTCCGCAGTTAGAGAACGCCTCTGGTAGTTCCTACTTAGTTTCATTCTCTCGGATGTTTCTGTCTGTCTTTCCCTTTCCCCTGCACCAAACGGTCGTTATTGCGTCGAATACTCTAAGAGCATCAGACTTTGGTGGTGTGATTCTGTTAAATTCTTTATGAAATCCAGCTCTCCTCGGCGCACGCCCTGCTACCTGGACGACCACAGAGCAGAAGAGAAGAGTCCGGTCCTGTTATATTTCACAGCTCCTTATTAAGTCGTGGTCAGAGAGAGGGCATTTCTACCCGAGAGTCGATGTCGTTGATGGATGAGCGCTAGTCGTCCGGATGACTTCCAGTCCTAAGCTATAGACCTTATTATAAAAGTTAGTACGGTTCTTCTATCTGCTGGTAGCGATAGGCTAGCCTTACTAGCATTGTACATTTATAACATATAGGTGGTTAGAGAACGCCACTGATAGATCCTTCTTTCAACTATGCTGTTTCCGTCTTCGTTTTTCCTCAACAGAGGTGTCGATTTTCCAGATAAACCCGGAAATCTGTATTTTTCAATTTGTCCTTATTTTGTCTGGCTTTAAAGATAGTTTTTGGAAGCCAATGTCCGTATTTGATAACTCGGTCTGTAAACAGAGTCATGGTGGGATCCGAAAATTCTATATTTTTTTCCATTTCGTGGCCAGTTGGCACCTCTGTTCCAAGCACTAAATTCACTAAACGACTGCTTTTGATCTATGTAGGCCTACTTCTCTTTACCCAGACAAACAAACAATATATATATATATGTATTCTAATGCCCCCCCCCTCTCTCTCTCCCTCTCTCTCTCAGTCTCTCTCTCTCTCTCTCTCGCTCGCTTGCACCAACAAACAGCATGACTAACAGCTTAACAGCTTCGTCATGTCCCTTGTTGAGCGGTCAGGGTTATGGTTAAATGTAGAAGGGGAATCTGCTTTATGACTTGAGTAAAGAGGGCCGTGGTTGAACGGAGAGGTCGAATCTGCTCCGAGTCTGAGTCTTCGATAAGACGGAGCATCAACACAACTGTGCTACAGTGTCTGTACACACTTATGTACATACATAATGTAGACGGAAGGCGAATCGTGCTCTATATCTCAAACGAGATCTAACATCAAGACAATGGCGTCTGTACACGCGTATATGAACATTATGTTAATGAACAGAAGGCGAATGTGCTTTATGACTTGAGTAATTAAGGCAATGTTTAATCGTGTAACATGTTAAAAGTGGGTCTTCTCAAGGGCTTGAACAAGACTTAACACTGTGGAATATATACAGTGTATGTGCACATAATATGTAAACAGAAGGCGAATCGGATCCACTCCTAGCTGATCAAGCAGGGTTATGGTTGTATGTGGGAGTAAGGGGTGGACCTGGTCAAGGGCTGTTGTACATGTAACAAGACTTAACACTGGAACACAAGGGCTTGTACTAAGTTGTACGCACGTAGTATGTACATATTATACATATGTAAATAGAAAGAAGCCGAATCTTCTCTATGTCTTGTTGAGTCACCATGGTCATTGTACAGGGTGCCCACTACGGATGGGATCTGCGAGTCGAACGATCGGTCCGATCCAGCCGTAGTGGCCATCCCGTATTATATGTTGGAGTAAAAGGTGGGTCTGTTTTACTTTAAGGACTACCATAACAAGACTTAAAACTGTAACACAACAGTGCTTGTACTAAGCTGTAATAATAATAGATAGATAGATAGCATTTGTATAGCGCAAATCCCCACTCAACAGCAAGCTCTATGCGCTTTACAATCTATACTTTTACCCCAGCAGACCTGAGAGCATTCTGAAACAAACTCAACTTCTCGCGAAGTATACAGTGCAAGCTGCCATTTATAGGCGCTAAAACGCTAAAATACTGACAAAATCTTTCGCTGTCTATGACCGGGAACCCATTCTTACCTGTGTGAAGTGTGGAAAATTCGTGTAAAGTGTAAATGGCCTTTCCCAAAAGCACAACGTCCGGCCCGCGGCTCGAACCCCCGAACTTCCAACCTTACTATTACGAGTCTGGTAGCCTAACCACAAGGCCACCGACGTGACGTACATAACATATAACTGTCCCCGTCGGGGTTTTTTTTTACAAAAAAATTATGAAATTATGCAAACTGAGACCAAAAATGTGAAATTGTGCGATTCTGTTAATTTTAAACAAAGACTGTTAAAGGAAAAAAATCCGAAATTATACGGAAAATGGTCAAATTTTGCTTAATTATGCGGGGTGCATAAAAGCACGGGGGCAGAAATAAATTACATGAACGTGTAAACCAGAAGCTGAATCCTCTACGTTTGGTTAAGTAATGAGGGTCATGGTCGTATGTAGAAGCAGAAGGCGAATCTGTTCTGTGTCTTAAAACAAGACCTAACATCATCACAACAATGCTTACACTTGTACACATTAGTTTACGTACATATACAGTAGGAGGGTGTGGTGGCGGAGTGGTTTGTGCGCTCGTCTCCGAAGCGGAAAGTCCGGTTTCGAGCCTTGGTTCAGACACGGATTTTGTTCGCCTCCTCCTGCCCACCCAACAGTAATGGGTACCTTAGTTCGAGTTGGCAAAGTAAAGGCGGCGTGGGAAGGAACTGGCCACCCTACCACAATAATATGCCGAAGGCCCAGGAAGTTGTCTCATGTACAAGGCAATCCCCAATGTCCGGATCGGATGCGGGAACAACTTTACCTTTTATACACAGTAGGCGAATCTACTGTCTCGTTGAGTCACCAGGGTCATGGTTGTATCATGTAAGAGTAAGAGGTGGATCTGCTCAAGGGCTGTAACAAGACTTGACACTACTAACACAACAGTACATGCTTACACTTACAAGTATATAAGTAAACGGGAGAAAGCGAGTCGACTCACACACCCAAGGATATTTTAATTATTTTAATTTTGATAGCATTGTTCGGGAGGGTGGGCCAGGGGAAGTAATCGCTCATGTAAATGTAAGCGTTTTGAGACTTCAGCGGTTGCAACTCATTATACTCGCAAAGTGATGCGTCCAGCTCTAAACGGTTTTCCAGGAAAAAGAAAAAAGTACCGAAATGTTCGGTAGTTTAGGGGAGAGATATAAACCTTATAGTTTTATACTTTTATCAAACGCACACATTTTGGTACTTCTACACAGAGCAGATTGTTGACTTGACTTTGGTGATTTGACAGAAAAAATGGGTGTTGTATTATGTCCAAATCTCTCCACAAATTTGAATTTCTTTTTTATGAACACAAGTCAACCAAGAAAACGGAGAATTTACCTACAAATACTACAAATCTTAGATTTAGAGGACAGCCACACATTCGTCAATGGAAAAAACCCCCAGGTCAAGCCGAGAACATGTGTATAGATTGGGCAAAGGCAGGTGGTGTAATGCATGTTATGTAATAATATACATGTAATTGTTAAGATAAATGTATAAAATCAGGTGTTTGAACCGAGACAGGAACGGATGTAGCTTGAGTGAACTATGGCAAGAAATATGTTATCATGGGCTAAAGCAGTATTGAGTTACCGTGGAGAAAGACTATACATCATGTAGTAATCTGTTCTCATTATTTATGGCATCTATTTATCTGTTTGTGGTTGCGGAATTTTGCTATTCAACTGATCAATTAATTGAATACTCTCAAAAGTATTGTTTTATCGGGGGAAGAGGGGGGGGGGGTGTTACAAAGCTTTATGAAGTGTATTTTTTTGTTTCGTAATTTCCTAAATAGATTAGTACAAGTACAAGAGCTTCAAAGAAAAAACCCCATCAGAATAGGAAACAAATTATACAGAATATGAGATTGCGAGGGGAAATCCAGCTATGTCCTTTTTGCACACATTTACTTCATGACATAACAAAAGCATACTTCAGCACTTTAAAGCCTAACGATGTCATGTTATAATCAGTAAGTGGACATACTTTATATATTTTTTCAAGGCGAAACTCCAATTGTGAACACAGCGATGACCAGAAGTCTTCAAAGTTCAATTTTCACTCTTCTCAAAACGTACAAAACGTGCCATCGCTGGTTTTCCCTTTACACCCTTCATATTATTTAAAAATTCATCTACTAATGTAATACGAATGCATGGTCAGTGTTGAAATGGACTACGTCAAACATGTGTCAGTTACATTTTGAGTATGACAACATGTGTATTAAACATGAAATAAAGCAGGATGTATTTTTAGGTGGATAAATCGCCTTACCTTTCGCAATATGTCAAGCTTTTTTAAATGCAATTCGTTGAATATCTTGACCACGACTCCGAATATTCTCACGATTTTGATAGAGCAAATGGCTGATTTGCTTTCTGACCTCGTGGTCAAAACGCCAAAAATGTTAGATAACAATTCTGAGATAGCGAAATTACAAGCAGCTATCAAGGGTCTTGAAAAAAAACCAACCTCCCACTGAGCCCAAAATTGTTAGTTACAATAAATGCCTGGGTGTTTCGCAGAATTTCAGTTTCATTTTATTTAGGCCAGTGGGGTTGGGATTTACGGCTTTCAAAAGGATAACTTCAAAACCGACGGAGTGGATTGAGTACAAGATAGCAATAAATTGATTAGATTATATCGTAACTTCATTTCGATGCGTTTTTTTTTTACTCTTGCTGTCGACAAGGATGGGCAAGTGGTGGTGACGTCTCTAAAAACGTTTTCTTTTCTTTTGCTTTTTCTCCCTTTTCACTCTGATGATTTACTTTTAACCCATCCCCGTTATCTCTTCTTTATGTGCTTCTTTCACTTATAAGTAGGCCTAGATCTATTTCAGTGTTTCTATAAAAGTGAATATGAAAGATAAATCATGTACTCAAGCAAATGCTTTTATATTATGTGTATCAACTCTCTGAGTTTTAATATTAATAGCCAGTCGATGTTTGGGAATGAGAAATATGATATTCATGTATTTTACAGGACAGTGGAAACGGAAGGAAAGTGTGGAAGAATTTCACTTTATGAGAGATCCTCAGATTTAAAAAAATGTCCCTTTTTGTCCGCCCCTTTCCAGCCCCCCCCCCCCCCCCT